AATTAACACACCTATAACATTCAAATGATGGAACTAAACAAAAAAAGGGATACAGATGAATGTCCATTTTGTATCTGTGTATTCAAAATGGTTAGGATATATAGTTACATTCTCTTAATGAATAGAGGGATTTGTTGTAATAGTGTTTGTAAATAGAATATCTTGTCTGCATCTTGTACAGCAAATAACCACTAGGAAGAGAGTATGCAATGTGTTAATTATTAAAACTGTCATACCAATTTGATGTGAAACTGTCTCATTGCTATTTGTCTCTCAATAAAATTGTGGAAAAAAAAAAAAGATAAAGTACATGGCAGGGTGGGTGTAAGCTACATGCAAATGCTACACCATTTCCTATGAGGGTCTTTAGCATCTCTGGGGCTTTGGTATCCGTGGAACTGAGGGAAAAATTGTTTCACACTGAGCACTCAACAAATGCTATCAAGGGCTGGGGAGATAGCTCAGTAGAATAAGCGCTTGCCTGACAAGCACAGGGTCCTGAGTTCAATCCCCAGTACTGCAATAAATAAATAATAAAAAATAAAAATAAATAAATAAATAAAGATAAAAGACAAGAGAAAGAGATGACTGCTTTTCCAAAAGAATTTGCTAGGCAATAGCCTTGGTATGTATGAATGTGCTTGGGCCTTTCAGAATTACTTATCACATATGGAAATCTACAAACATCATATGTAGGTTTAAGATGAAAATAAGAATAGTTATAACAAAAAAACAAAAAAATCAAGCTACTATAATTTCTCAAACAAAAAGATAAAGATAAGACGAATAATTTCATATCACAGTATGAAAATAAGTGATACACCAACTGGCACAGCGTATGGTTGGCAACATATATAAATGTATTTTCTTAAAGAGCTAGAACTTTAAGATGACTGTATAACCTAGTATCTGCTACTAATGTACTGTTATTTTCTATTCTCTAGTACTTCTATCTCACGAATAGCCAAAGATTGGTAACTTACAAACACTACCACTACAATGGGGCTGAGTGTAGTGGCTCATACCTGTAACCCCAGCTACTTGGAAGCCTGAGGCAATAGGATCACCAAGTTCAAGACTTACAGTTATATTTTAAATTTTATAAAAGAAATGTTGATTGGGCAAAGGGGTGGCTAAGAATGTAGTTCAATAGTACAGCACTTCTGCAAACAATCCCTAGTACCACAAAAAAAAAAAGTGGGGGGGAAACTACCTCAGAAGATGGAAGAAATTGTAAAGTCATTTCATGAAAAGTATAGAGGAATTTAAGATTTATAGTTGCAGATGATTAGGGAAAAGGCATACTGCCTTAATGGAATTGTTTAATGACTGTAGTGAAAAAAACAGGAAATAATGAACATACATGCAGGGATAGGCCTGGAATCTGAAACATTGAGCCTATGCATGCAGGGCTTCTGAATGGGGTAAGCAAAAAAGTGCCATCATCTCAGATAAGCAGAGAGAAGCAAAAGAGGAAGACAGTGGGTACTTATTTGTACTTGGGATGTTCAAGTGATTAAACTCGGAGAAAAATCTAAGGTTATCTCCCAAAGAAAAGGTGAAACCAAAAATTATATAGGTGCTCAGAAAAAAACAAAACTGGCAGGATCATATGGTAGCTCCCAAACATTTTGTTTTTATCTTTTACAGAGTACCCTCAGGGCAAAAGACCGTTAACTCATTTCCACAAAATTATCTTTCTTTTTTTTATATTTATTTTTTTATTGAGAAATAAATATAAATGAGACAGTTTCACAGCTGATTAACAGGACACTTCTGATAGTCAATACACTGTACAATGTTATCTTCTTAGTGGTTATCCATAGTACAAGAAGCAGACAGGATATTCTGTCCAAACACTGTTAGTACATCTCTTTCTTCTCATTGAGTGAAGCGAAAGTAGCTGTAAATTTATCTTATTTTGTATATGTAAATACAAAATGATCTTTCCTTTGTATCTTTTTTTTAATTTTTTTTTGTCCTGTCAGAGGTGAATATTTTATTGGCATCTAAATACTATAGGTGTTTGAATTCAACTAAACAATCTAACACTGTCTAGCAGTCTATATTAGTGGGTTATCCTCAGAAGTTATTGACTTGAGCCTTTTACAGCTCATCGTATTAATATGGATTTACTTTATATACCTCGTTTTTATACTTTTCTGCTGGATGGTTAAGACCAAGATATAGCAAGACCTATATAACAAGAAATGTAACTTTTGTTATCTGATAAGGTCAGCCAAGTACTCTTAGGATTTATCCTGTAGCCCTGTACCGCCCTTTGTACATCCTTTTGTCAGTGTCAGCCATGAGGATGAGTCACGGTCATTGCTTGACCAATTTGCTCTCTGTGAAAGCTTGAGAAAATGTTTTTTCCTCTCTATGTGACTCTCCCCAAAACTTCTCTTTCTAATGGAAAAAGAATTCTGTGACAGCAATCAGTCATATATAAAATCATAATACACATATCTTAAAGTGAAGATACCAGAGCCAGTCAGGGTCAGGTATGCCTGTCATCCCAGTACTCTGAGAGGCTGAAACAGGAGGATAACAAATTGAAGCCCAGCATGGACAAATGAGACCCTGTCTCAAGATAAAAAATATTTTAAAAGGGTTGGGGATATAACTCAGTGAAAATACTATGGGTTCAATCCCCAAACTATTTTTTTTTAAGTTTATTTATGTAGAGATTTTTTTTTTTTAATTTTGTGTGTGTGTGTGTGTGTGTGTGTGGCCAGCTCAGCCCACCAGGGGGTGGGGCTGGCTGGCATGTGGTGCTGGGGGATTGAGCTGCAGTCCCTGTGCTTTGCTAAGCTTGTTGTAAGTAGGTGCTTTAGACCACGAAGCCATCTCACCAGCCCAATCCCCAAACTATTTAAAAAAAAAAAAAAAAAATCCTAGAAAATTGTAGGTCAAAATTTATTTGATACAAATACAGTATGCACTAGTATTTGGTTGAGGACATATGATCACGATGAACTAAATTTATAACACTAACTGAAAATTCATTTGTCATATAAAACAAGAATACCACCTGAAAATGTCAAGACAACACTGATGGTGCCCTGATAAGGAATTACTACAGCAGGCTCCAGTACAACCCTTGCGAGGCTGCCAATGCAGTTCAGCCGCCAAATTTCTTTTAATACTGAAATTCTAGTAACATTTTATTTTATGAAAACCAAATACCACTGGTGATGCACTTAGGAAAATATTACTAAATAGCCCCCCAGTTTTGATCCCTGAGAGCTTAAGAAGATGAGAATTGAGAGGAGCATTGATGATCATAATCGTAACGTCAAGGTTGGGAGTGAGAACTGGGTCACAGAACTGGTCCCAAAAAGGGAGTTAAATGTCCTTTTAAAGGGACATTTAAAAGCAAATTACAAGTACTACTGCTCCAAGGACGGCACTCAGAGAACTGTGCTGACAAAGTGCTGGGAGGAAGGAAGTTGTGCAGATGGAGATGAGCAGTCTGCTCTCTTCCTTCCATCACTCCTTCATAACCTACCTACCTCTCTTTGCGGGGGACTGGAGGAAGGGAAACGTGTAGTAACTTTCTGAAGGGAGGAACAATGACTTAAGACCACACAAAAAGGGTAAAGTTATTATCTATGTACTGGTTGCATGGAGATCAGATGGCAGTACAGGCACGGAGAAGGACGAATTACCTCTGCACTACAGGTAAACTAAGGGGAAAGTAATCCAAAACTGGGCTTGGTGAGTGATTATCCACAAGAAGTTCTGGACATGGTAATCCCCCAACGAAGACAGAACAGTATTTAAACATCTATGGGCTGGCGTATTGCTCAATAGTAGAGGAATTATTGCCTAGCACGCTGCAAGTCCTTGGATACCATCCCTAGAAGAGGGGTGGGAGCTGGGAGCGGGTGTCTGATTCACTTTCTTTGCACCTTGGGCAAGGCACTCAACCTCTGTGTGCCTCATCTGTAAAACGGGAGTAACAATCTTACCTACCTAACAGGATTGTCTTATGGCTTCAACAAATTATATTTGCACATCGTTTAAAACCATGTTTTTCCCTACATCTAACAAGTGCTACCAAAGTTTTGTTAAATAAGTTAAAGAAGGTCAGAGTTCGTTTTGACATCTCCAAATAAAATAATGCAGTGTAAATGGTAGTGGGGTGCGGGAGCGCAGACGCGTTAAATTTTCATCAGCGTTGTGAATACCATGAGGCTGCACCTGGGGGAAGGGGTCGTCTTCCCAACAGGGTTCAAAGAACACCCGGGCGCAGTCTGAAGGAAACTTGCTTCCTCTCAGGGCCTAGGATTTGCAGCAAACTCGTTTTTTTGAGTAGCTGTGATTTTTCAAGCAATCACTGTATTCCGGACAACAGTCCACAGAGTAAAATTTTGTTCTAAAGATCAGGACTTTCGGCTAACGCAGCACAGGGGTGGAGGCGCTGGAAGAAGAAGGGTGATGTCCCCAGGGGGAAGATCTACCACCATCTGTCAGGCAGTCCCCACCTCCCAGCCCTCGAAGCAGAGTGAAGGCTATAGCGCCCGGCGAGGCGGACAGAGCCTCGCAGTAACAGTTGGAAAGGGACCCCCGTGGGCTGCACAGAGAAACCCGCCTCGCCAGGACGCAGGTCCCTGCCGGTCCCTCCACAGGGCGGCGCCGACGCTGGCCCTGCGGGCTGCCGGCCAACGCACAGATCCCAGGAAGTCTGCCCGCACCGCCCGTCCCGCCCGTCGTCGGCCCCGGTACCCAGGGTACCTGAGCGTGGGCCCGATGCAGGCCGTGTCGGTGCTCTCGATCTCTCGCAGGATCCGCTCGTGCTCCGCCGCCGACTCCAGGCTCTCCGCCTCCGCCATCTTAGCCCGCTCCATAGACTGGGGGCGCCGGGCACCGCGTCCCCTCCCTCAGCGAGGCTCACCTTTCACTCCTCACCCTCGGTCTCACCCAAGGCTCCAGAGCCGCCCCAGCCTCCAGCAACCCACAGTTCGACCCCGCCCTCGGGATCGCCACGCCCCCTTGCGTCATCACGTTCTGACGTTCGCGCGCTCCCCACTGGGATTTGCAGTCCTCTGGGCGTTACTAGGCTGGCTCTGTTCTTTAAATCGTTGAAACGGTGCAAGTTTTGACAGCCCATATAAGCCAAGAACACAACACACAACAGCATTATGTATAAAGTGATGATCAAGCCAGACAATGGCACTGGCTTTGCGAATTCTTGTTTAACACGTTTGCCACAAAGCGCAAACAGCTCCGCGGGAGCGAAAAGAGAAAACTATACAGACCCTCACAGAAGGGGAATAGGGAGCATGGGACAGAGCTGGAAAATCTAAAACTGCGATACAAGGCAGAATGTTGAACAGTGCTTCACAGATTCGCTTTCAGAATTCCCTTCTGGATGTGAAGGCTTCTTAGGGACAACGCCTGGGAAGTTAAAGGTGCGACTGGAAGGTGTGAGGAACGCCCATATAGTCAAGAATTTAATTTGCACTACCGTAAAAGAAGTAGAGGTAAGCTGTTGAGGCTGGCGAGGCATCTTAAGGGAGAATTTGTGAAGATTTTTAAATGCGGGGTAGAAGTTGTACTTTATTTTGATGGTTCCACTAATCCAGTGAACAACTCCATCAAAACTACCTGGAAACTTTATTTTTTAATAATGACTAAGGGTCCTTCACCCGGAGATTCTGATCCAAGCATCTGCATTGCATAAACTCCCTCAAATATAACTTTAAAAATCAGATTTATTGATCAGTACTAACAGTAAATAGGAAGCCACTACAATATTGTACAAGAACAGTCACATAATTAGAACCTCAATATTAGCAAATTTGATCAACAGTAAGTGTACAAGATGTGCAGAGAAACAATTTGGAGATAGAAAGATATCTCATAGGAGTCGTTAAGCTCTACACCAGAGAAGAAGCAATTAGAATAAAAAGAACAAATCAATAGGAAAAGCATTATAAAGGAGAAGTTGAAAGGACAGCAAGGTAAGCATTACTTTAGAGGCTGGAACTAGAGTGACCCGGAAAGTACTGTTGATATCAAGAAAATAAAGATTTAATCTTTGAAAAAGGAGTGAAAAAACATACACTGGAGGAAATATAGCCTTTTTAATAAATCGTGCTGGGAAAATTGTATATCTACACGCAGAAGATTGAATCTAGACCCATATATCTCACCATGCAGTAAACTAAAATCAAGTTAATCAAAGGTCTAAATATCAAAACAGAAACACTTAATTTGCTCAAAAATAAAATAGGTAAAAATTTTAAAGACATAATTGCAGAGAAGGACTTTCTGATTGTTTGTTTAATTATGTTTTGTTGGGACAGGGTCTTGCTATGTAGCTCAGGCTAGCCTTGAACTCAATATGTAGTCTATGCTAGCCTCAAACTTGTAGTAATCCTCCTGCCTCAGTCTCTTAAACAAAGATTACAGAAATGCACTACTATGCAGCAAGGACTTTCTGAGCTGAACTAAGTAGCACAAAAAATGATACTGAGAATCCACAAGTGAGATTATATCAAATTTTAAAAACTTATACACAGCAAAGGAAACAACCGAGAGTAAAGAGAAAATGTACAGAATGGGAAAAAAAAATACTGCCAGCTATTCTTTGGACAGAGGTCTAATACCTAGAATATAGAAAGAATTCAAAATATTAAACCCTCTAAGAGAAAATACCCAGCAGAGGCATGGTGGTACATACCTGTAATCCCAGCATTTGGGAGGCTAAGACAGTACGATCACCATAATAATAATAAACAAAAGACCCACTCAAAAATGAGCAATAATAAAAAAAAGAAAAGAGCAATAGCTCTTTCCCATCTTGCAAGATGGCGGGTAAAAAAACTGAGAAGCCAGATGCTAAAAAAAAAAAGAAACCCAAAGC